GTAGTGTGAATACGATTCTCAGAATCCCATTTACAAAATTCCAATTTTTGATCCAGGCCGTTATGTTATTATAGGTCGCCTATTCATTGTAAAATAATTTCCATTTGTTAACGCCATTCATTTCATTATATATATCTTCTTTTTACAAGTTGAGTTACACGGTTGTTCCCCCTCAACTTTTACCAACGCGAAATTTAATGTAGTTCAAAATTTTTAGTGTATATGTATCCAGGCTATTTTCAGTCCACAGAGGCCCAGGTGACATGCGGATTTGACTTGTTTTTCGAGATTCAAGCTCTATAATTTTCCTTCATACCAACGACTGGAGGAGCCAGGAGCTGCCTTCTCGGTGACTTGGAAGGTAATACTTATGCTCCCAATCGTTGAAGCTTACGTCATTGAAATTCATAGTCAACCATTCTTTGAGTGACAATGATGCTGCTCCCTCTTGAATTAAGCTGTTTCCAAAAGAAACGTACCCAAAAGCTGTTTACAAAATCATTATTCATACGCATAATCAATCATAGATGGTTCTTGTCTTTACATAAATATCTCTTCTCTCTCCTCGTTCTCTTTTGTACAACCATAACTATTTCCCCCTATCAGCTCCTCGCTCGCTTTGGAGAGAGAGATTTCACCTTTGGGGTGTGGATCTTTTTCAGGGAGGTAACAGTAAAAGATGAAGGAAGATGTTTGGTAAGTTTAGTAAAAGCTCTTCCAGAGTTATTAGTTGAAATTTGAAATCTGAATGTTATCACTCTTCATTTTTTAAATATATTTTGGTCGAAACATGTACTAGATTGGAGTCACCTTTTGCAGCAAACATTATGTTCTTTTTGAGGTAGAGAGAGATGAGAAAAAATGTTGCTATAGTGAGATCATAATAATGAAATCACTATTGTTGTGCAGATAAGTAGGCCATGTACAATGCATCTTAAAAAAGCAGTTGCTTTTAATGCCAGAAATACCAAATGTGATGAATAAGGCTACACGTCCCTTCTTTTCATTGAAAGATCAACATCAATCAAAAGTGAATGATGTTTACCAGACATTTGAGGTCCACTGGTCCCTCCTCCCCCAGTTTCCAGTGCCACAAAAAAATGCATTATTTCTAATGCTAATTCTCTGCAGAATGTTGCCCTTTTTTATGGAAGATAATATTGTTTATCTTTCTCAGTCTTCTCTTTATCCTTTTCTTTTGAGATTAACGGGCTGATTTATATTCACATTCCCCGCATTTTCATCTCAACATTCATGGTTTCCTTTACAAAAGCATCCCAATCTCTTTAATTTCTTTCTTTAGAATAGATTCCAGCTTGTGAGGATTAAGTTATGTACTGATAGATCATAATAGAACATGTCAGTCGGGAATAGAAATGAAAACTATATTTGAAAAATAGAGTTTCTACAAGGTTCTGATGGCGATTTGGACGACAATGATAGCTATTGTATAATTCAAAACAAGGGAAAGAAGATAAAACCATGCCTGTCTGCTCTCTGCTTACCTCAGATAAAACCATAGGCTTTATCCTCCACACAAAGTTTATGTGATCTGTGTTTGTAACTTATTTGCTTGCTGGTTGTCCCAATACTATCCAAACAATAATTTTGACAACTCAGTGATGGCAACTGCAGGTAGTAAAGAGGACACCTTTGGTAGGTTGAAAAGTCTCTATACTCTAAAAGTGATTATAAATGTTGCAGAAATCTTTTGTATTTTCTGCTTGCACAAGACCTGTACCTGGATCCCAGTAAGTTCTGAAAAATCCAAAATACTTGAGAATCCCTATGATTTCTTGTGTTTCTTTCAGCATAATAAACGAGGGTTATTGACTAACTAAAGTTAAGTGTAACAATACATGATTAGGTTTTTTGAACAGTAAATGAAACCTTTTCATTGTTAGAATTCAATGACATGAACTGGTTTCTTGACCCTATTCTCTGTCCGATTAACTTGTGTCTTGAAATACTGGTACATGGTAATTCCGAGTACTGTATAGAAGGAATATGACATTTTCTAGGAATAGTTCATATTAAAAACTGTGGTAGGAAATGAAACTATTCAAATAGGCATTAGAGTAAGTACTTTCGAGTTTTGAGAACCGTATCTGGATCAGTGTCACTGAAAATTTGCAGCCAAGGTTCAGTATTTGCTTGGATAGCAAACCTTATCTTCATTGATTCCCATTCATTGGCTTTGAATGTAATTTCACAGCTTTGTTATCCTATTCTCTTCCTTCAGCTTTCTTTTACATTCATTCATGTTTTATATGCAAATGGGATGGAATGGCCTAAAAGAGGTCATTTTCCCCCTTTTTCCTCACTTAAGCCTGTTTCTATGGAGATCCCAGTTGCTGCATAGTTGTTCTCTACAAATTTATTGTGTACTGCCAAATATTGGAAGATATTGATATTACATTTATTTCTATCATGGCTTGAAATTTTTTTCTCTCTTTACCTTATTGCTTAGAAAAAAGGACAGTGAGAATGCTGGGAGATGTGTCAGCTTTTCATTCACTCAATTCACTCATCCTTAGATTCCTCTAAAAAACTTTCCACATGTTGAGTTTTGCCTGCCAAAAAGAAATCCAATAAATGTATCTTTTTCCAAGATTTTATTTTGTCCCACTTGGAAATAAAAACAAAACCCCCATTGGAATACATATATTGTCTCCATCTCCCCTTCATTCCCATCATGGGTTTTCAATCTGCAAATTATATCCATCATTCAATCTTATAAACTAAAGGGATAAGATTATATGATCTCTCAAAATCTTCACAAATTTTAAATCTCTATTTCTCTTCTCTCTACTTCTTCCATATGTCAGTCCCATGAGTTCTTCTAGTACCCGTTTGTTAATATTTTTAGAGACTAAGTATTTGATAATTGTTCCGTTTTTCTTTTTTTGTATTTTTAAAAAAATGTTTTCAAAATTGTGTGAAAATTTTAGAAACTTATTGTTTTTTAGTTTTTTCTAAAACGTTAATAAGTATTATCTTAACAATCTTGACTTATAAAATACACAATAAATATAGGATAATTTTCTTTTAATATTTAATTTAAAAAATTAATTTTCGTATCTAAAATGTACCTTTTTTTAATCGGAGAGAATTAGATATGAAACAAGAGATGAAAAAGTTAAACGGGTGGCTAATTTAATCCACTTTTGCCTCATATTTTCTCTCCTCGTCTCGTCAATTTTTTTCATTCAACTCAAAAAGTCAAGCCTTTTTCTTTTATTTCTTTTTGTTATTTTTAATTTTCTTCAACTCAGAAGCATCCTAGAAAGTTATTTATCCAAAATATATATCATTGGACTTCTTAGGTTAGGTCTTGCCCTGGACAGACTTGAATTATAATTAATTTTTTTCTGTAACCGACCAACCCCTTCTTCGTTTCTTCTTCTTCGTCTTTGCTGTTGGAGAAAATACTGTAAACTGGTAATAATTATGGGGCACATCTGCAAAATAGAAATTAGTTAGGGTGGAGTTCGAAAATTAATTGTGGGCCAAAGTCATTGTACATTTTTTCTTTTTCGGAATACCAACCCCTTCAGATGTTTGTTTAAAAAAGGGTTTATATCAAGTGATCAAATTTAATTACTTTAGACCAATAATTTTAACTTCGTGGGTTTCAACGAGATCTTGAATTTAAATTCATGTAACGGCATTGAAAGATGAAAAAAAAAAATTAGACATTTTCTAGGATTTTAGTACAGCTTCTGTGATCTGGGTAAAGTTGCAGAAATTAGTACTTATGTTAAATCAAATCAAATCATTTCAATTCAGTGCCCCTTTTTCTTTATCATGAAATCAAATCAGAAGGATTAGAAAAGTTAATGCAAATATTAAAAAGAAGAGAGACACTTCAATTAATTTAAACTAATTATATGATAATAATATTACTCTCACTAACTAAATCTCATATTCTTCATTCTATCTCCCTTCTTATATAAATATATATTTTTTAAAAATCAAAATAAAAATCAGAATCATTATTCAAAAATTTATGTTTTTATACCAAAAGTAGAGGAGAGAGGCCTCTTAAGAAACTTTATTCTGAGGCAGTAGGGTTCTTTTCCACAGTTGTTATTGTCGCCATTAGCATCAGCAGCTGGCAATTATATACAAGAGTAGAGCAGCAGCAGTACCATTGAAATGACTAAAATGACTTTTAATTTTATACTCCTCTAACTTACGTGAGTGAATTCCTATAATCGAAACTTATTGTCTGGCGGAGTAAAACAGTGACCAGTACAGAACTCGAACACGAAACCTCGCATGATAGGTGGTACCAGAACACTCCTTGTTTTAGTAAATTACTTAATAAATTAACCAAAAGCTTCAATTTTTTAATTTTTAATTAAAAAAAAAAAGAGTCTGTAAAAAGAGAGGGCTGGCTAGGGCAACGAGTAAAGTTGAGAGTTTCCTTAGGGTGAGGAAGATGCCAAAAATCTTCTGTGTCCAAAAGAAAAAAAGAAGAAAAAAAATCCCTCACTTGTAAATAATAATCTAATCTAATCTGCTCAAATCAAATCAACACTCTAGTTTTGTAAAATATCAACTCAACATAAACAAACAAAAACACCCCATGATTTTGAATGCTTTAATTTTGTGTGACAAATCTTTGTTTACAAACATTATGATTAATTAATATACCACAACAAGCAATAATTATTAAACTCCATATGTAGGAAACCCATATCCACTTCTTTAAGATAATATAATTAATATCTCAATGTGTGTTTGAAACACATTAATTTATAAAGAGATATATAATCACACACAACCCTCCAAGTGAAGTGGTTAACAATTGATTAAGATTGTTTAAGATATTACAATTGATTAAGATATTAAAAAGAAATTAGAACGAAAAGACAACATCTATAACTTTCTATTAGCAGTAGTGAGCCATCCATTATTCATTTGTATACTTGGTAATTAATATCAGTAATGAAACTGTTAACAATAAACAACAAATTAGAGAAACAACTGTAACCGACGATCAAATATATGTCTGTTTTTTATTTCTTTCAAGGGAAAAAGGGGGAGGAATATTGAATAGTTTTGTGATTGATGATGATGATGATATGATTTTGGGGTTTTGTTGATAAAATTAATAATAATTAGGTAACACTAATTGGGCCAACAAGGAGGGAACCTGGGGGTGCCTTTTTGCTATTTTGTTCCAAATTAGAAGCCATTGAAGGAGCTGCCAAAGTGAGCTCAAGATCTGGCCCAGCTGCTGCAGAAGAATTAGTTGAAGAAGAACAATAAGAATTTGGTTTTTTTGGAGAAGAAGAACATTTCAGCTGTGAATCATCAATCAATCCATAAATCCAAACTCCAGAAGAAGAAGAAGCAGCAGCAGCAGCATCTGCCATTAATTGATCATCTAACTTCTTGTTAATCACTTCCATATAATTATAAGCACTTCCAAAACTAGTGGTTCTATCCAAAAGAGGCAAAGTCAGCTGACGATCATCCTTATTCTTCGACAATTCTTGTGAGTTCGAAGATAGCTTCAGACATTGAGAGAAATTAGCTGTTGTTGTTGAGGCTGTGGTCGTTGTTTTATCACATGCTTTGGTCCTTCCCACCTGTCTTGTCCAAACACAAAACAAATCAAAATTGGACTTTTTGGGTTCACCGATGATTTAACATGTTTAGGACGGCTACGGAGCCAGAAATTTTCAAGGAAAGGGTAAATTAGAAGAAAAACTTTAATAAAATTCGTTCGGCGCGTCCCAAATCGGGACAAAAATCGACCCGCAATCTTGTTATTCTTAGCTCAAATTAAGAAACTAGAGAGAAGAGAAGTAGAGTATACCATGTCAAAGAGGCTTGAACGCCTATTCTTTTTGTTGATTGTGGATTGCCTAAGGAAATATTTCTGAGCATGGCTTGCAACTTGAGTTGGAGTTCTAGTGGTGACATAATTTCTAGAGATGCCTCTCCAATCTCCTCTCCCAAGCTTTTCAAGCCCAATTAGAAATATTCTATGCTCCTCTTCAGTCCATGGAACCCCTAAAACATCATAACAATTCATCTCAAAAACAAGAATTCTTATAATCAGCCAATTTAACAACCAAAAAAAAGTAATGGGTTTTGTTTAGAAGTCATGAAACCCTCAAAAAAATTGCAAACCCACAAAAGGGTAGGGGTAAAAATCAAAACTTGAAGGAAAAAAACTCACCTTTCTTCCTGTCCTGCTCTCTAGTGAGGAGGCCATCAGAGAGATAGCCATTGATGGGGGGTTTCGTATCGTCGGCGTCGACGTGAATTCGAGACGACGAGAAAGAGGAGGAAGAAGAAGGAGGAGAAGAAGAAGGCAAAGACAAGCAATCAGTGCTGAAGCTCTTTTTAATGGCGAAATTATGATTGGGAGAAGAAGAATAATTAGAAGAAGAAGAAGAAGAAGGATCAAGATGAACTCCAAATAGCCTGATGGGAGGGCCAGAAGTAGCAGTAGCAGCAACAAAATTGTTGTTTGAGGGTCTGAAATTTGAGCAAGTTCTTGAATTGTGGCCTATGTTGCCACAATGTGAACACTTTCTGCCCATTTTTCACCCAAGAAATTAAAACCCCTCTAGAATTAAAGTAAAATCTCTCTGATATTCTTATGCTTCTTCTCACAATAATGATGATGAAACCCCAAAAAACATAAAAAAAAAGTTTTGAGAGAGAGAGAGAGAGAGCACAAAAAGAAGTGATATAATGGTGTGGTTTATATGAATTTGATGAATGGGGCCAATGCCTTAAAAAACAAAATGGACGCATAAGAGAACAATCTGATTGGATGGCCTTATATACAACTTTTTTTCCCTTTTTTGTTTTTGGGTTTTTGTTTTCTTTTTCCAACTTGGGTCTCTCTATTTCTCTCTCTCCATGCATCAGCTATTAGTATTTTGTATGTGTATAAGAAAAAGATTATGCGACAAAGAGAGATCTTCGGGATGACACAGTGGGAAAGGTCTTTGGGCCTTGTGGGATCTCGGTTTCAAGTTTTGTATTGATCACTGCGTTACTCGCCCTAATTACAGGGATCCACACGACATCGATTTTGAAAAATTAAAAAACAAAAAAAGAAGGAAAGACGAGAGAAGGGTGAAAAGGGAGGTTGATGATAAGTGAAGAAAGATCATGGAAATGGGAAAAGTTTGAAAGCTAAAGTTGATTAGAGAATGAGCAGTTTCATAGGAAATTTAGTGGAAAATTGTTTCATATAATTTGCTCATTTGGGTATTTTTATTTTTGTTATTATTATTATTATTTTTATTTTGTGTCTCTCTCTTTGGATTCTTATAGTTTTTTCCTTTGACTGGAACGTACAACTCCCAAAAGACAACATGATTAGTTTTCCATATATTTCTTCTCTCTTTTGTTTCTTGCTTTTTCCTCATTGAGCAAATAACCCTTTCTTTTTTTGGGATGATTGTATGGAAGAGAAAAAAAGAACCCCTTTCTTCTGTTTTAGGTTAAAATTATGACTTTGTTTGGGGATTCAACGCAAAGATAAATATGGTAAAATATATTTTTATCATTGAGTTTCAAAAAATGACAGTTTAGTCGATAGTSTTTGAAAAATAGTTCTAAAAAGTTGTTTGACATCCGTGAATTGTATATTTATTATTTTAAAATTTATATGACTTTTTTCATTTTCTCTCATCCTTTATCTTTAACTTCGTTGGGGAATTCTGTGAAGAAGAAGGATCAAGATGAACTCCAAACCAGTTGATTTATGTTTAATAGACCTTTTTTTTTCTAACTAAACGGTAGAGTTACACTCTTTAAACCCCCTAAAAAATACACGTAAGTCATCGGTTCTAATCCAATAAGGTGCGCTATTTTTCACTAAACTTCTATTTTAGTCTTAAAAAAACGATGATGTGTATTTTACAAGGTTTAATGTAATAGAATTTGATTTATTTACTATTTAAATCAATAGTAATCTATAAATAAGTCAATTAAGCCAAACCGAGCATAGGTCAAGTGGTTAAGACACCTATTTCTAACTAAAAGGTCATGAATTCGAACCCGCACCCCCACATGTTGTATTAAAAAAAATAAGCCAATTAAAACTATAGATGAGTAGATAAGCTACCAATTATATTTTCTATGGTCCAACAAATTCTCTGCCCTAAAATCTTTGAACTAAAGAAAAAAAGACCTGTTTATATATATAAATCAACCAATTTTATTTTTCTCAAAAGAGAGAAAAACAAAAGATGGGTAGATTTTTATGGTTTCTTCCCCATAATATTTGTGTTAAAGGTGATGCTCAAATGGATAGTTTGGTCATTTTGGTTCTTACCAATTTATGGAAAGTAGGCCATTGAATTAACTTTAAATGGCTTTTAATGGTTTGATTTGATTTCTAATTTTTAATTAAAAGTTTTTTTTAGTTCAAATTTCGTGCAGTTGAAGATTCGAACTTCTAACATTTTGGTCTATGATATATATGTCTAAGTTATGTTCAGATTGGTAATTTGATTTTTAATTCAAGTAATGAGGTATTGATTTGTTTTTCTCTTTTATTTTTAATTTATCTTTGATGATTTGTTTAAAAAAAACTACACGTTTTTTTTTAATTTTTTCCTCTCTATTCTTCCTTTGTTTTTAATTTTTTTAATATAAAGGCATACAGTAACGAAGATTTGAACTCACGACTTTTTTATTAAAAATGAGTAATAATACTCATGTTAACTATTTTTTCCTTTTATCTTTATTATTCAGATCTGATAGTGATGATTTCATTTTCAATTTTATAGTCACCTAAATAATCATTACTACACAAGTGGGCGAATAAAAAAAATGAGATAGAAAAATAAATAAATAAATGTTATTTTTATTTATGAGTTTTTTTTTAAATGGAAAAGTTTCTTAAAAACTATTCTTTGTAACTAAAAAGAAATTTCTACATTTGTTTTTGAGTAATTTTGTCTTCCCCTTAGGTCAGACAAATACTATTTTAATTTAAAATTATCATTAACTGGCAACCATTTGAAGAAAAACAAATTATATATATATTTCCATTATTTCATATAGGTATATACATATTATTCATAAAAGTAAAAGTTGATCATATGTATGATTAATTAAGCATTCTAAACATTTGATGGTGATTGATAATGGAATTATTATTATTATTATTATTATTATTATTATTATTATTATTATTTTTGAGTTCACAATTCACATTGATAATTGAAAACTATACTAAATAGATCACATTATATCCACAACTGTCAAGATATTATAATATATATATATATAAACCTAAGATAGAGGAAGGTAGCAACTGGTTCATTAAGGAATTTATGGAGCAACTTGAAGGGTTTTTACTTTTCTTTTCTTTTTCTTTTTTTGAATATATTTATTCTCTGTTGTTGAGCTTTCAAAG